CCAATAAACAACAATAGAATTGAATCACAGTGAGATCAAATAAAATGAACTGAAAATTATTGAAAGAGAAATATTATCTTACTTCCAAATATCAACGCTAAGTTTCCTTTGCAAAATCTCTCGATAAAATATGAAAATATCAGCAGACGCTTGTTTAGCTAATGTTCTTGCAGCTTCAAATGTATTGTATTCGAATGTTCCATCTGTATCGCAAGCCACCATTTCCGTCGATTCCTGCATTTATATTTCATTGACATTCCAGTTAACAGACATATCTTGCACTCACACTGCGAATAATGCCAAAGAAATAAAACGAGTACTGTAAAATCGCAATCTCATAAAAAACATTTTTAAACTTTTGAAATAGCACAAATTTCCATTAACTGAGATCTTTGCCAGCCAACCAGAACTCCATAAACTCACTTTTCCACTCGAATAAAATGCAAATGTATAGAATGTATCAGCAGAAGAGCACTGTGTATATTCTGGGTCCAGAATGAGCTTTCCTTGAGAAACTGCCACAGTAACTCCACAAAACATTCCATTCATAATGATGCCTAAGTCGAGAGCTGCCAAACAAGCGGCATTTAGAGCTGCAGCTGCCTTAAAATAGCATCAACACATCAAAATGTAATGCAAAAGGAAATGAATAAGTCACTTTAATAATATATTTTAAGAGATATCATAAAATTCGTATAAATTTTCTTTCTAAACTAAATTTGTTATAATACCTCACTGCCACCTTTCTGCAATAACTGTAGAGTAACACTGAGAACAACACGAGGATAGTGAACATGGTCAATGGTGTGTTTCAATGCAGCACCTAATAACCGATTGATCTGAAAAAACGAACTGATGATCTTAACGTACTATTAAAATTAAGCTGAAAGACTAGGTTTAAAACAACTAGCAAAAATGCAACAATTTGTGCAGAAAGTTTATTTCAATATTTCAGGACTTAAAAATTGACAGATCATCATTTAACACATAAAAAAAAATCTTCATTTATTACCAATATAACCTTTCGAAAGCATATGCCGAACAGTGTCATGTCATTTACAACAATGTGAAGTTTGAAGAATCATAAGAAACCTTGGTAGAATCTTTTTGTCCGTGGGGATGCTTGTAAAGAATATCAATAACAAGTTGTTCGCTGAGTCGTTTCGAAGAAGAAGCGTTACCAGGACCATTGATTCCGCACCATATTACAGTGGTACCTTGTTCAAGAGCACAGGAACCATCAGTTCTAGGCAGAAAACTTAGTTGTGCTCTAAGATCGCGTAGCTTTTGGTGAGAATTATCGGACACTTCGGGAGATTTCACTTCCATTTACTCTTTCTAGAATAATATCCATCACATTCCTGCCATTAATTCGTTTGTTCCAAAAACATAGTTCTAGTTTTTTTTCAATTGAATTTAAAAGAAGGGAAAAATTATAAGCCTTCTAACACGTACATCACAAGACTCAAAAATGCACTTCCAAAAGATATCTACTCAATTTACCAACTTGGTTTCCATGATTTCACTGCAGGAAGTTGGCTCATACTTCGGCCGTGAATCATTGATATGTCGTTGGAGGCATTGATATGGTACAGAGGTCAGGAGGTCATGGAGAGGAGTGTGTGTAGTGACTGTTATCTTTGTGGCCTTAGCTCACTTTTTTACATCTTTCAAATCTCTTTTAGCAGCTTTATAACATTCCTCAACCTCTACTATACTGTGTTATAAAATATAATATGAAACTTTATTATTTATGATATTAGGGAAGTTGTCCGCACGGCTTACGTAGATGTTCAGATCACAATTTTGAAATCTTCTTGGGGAAACATTTTTATAGCAATGAAAGGATGAAGTGCTGAATAACATTACAAATATAAGTGACGAAAAAAAAGGCTAAAGAAAAAAATGCTTGTATTGACACCGTTCATCGTACCGAATTCATTGCTGGAATCCTGAATCCCTGAATCAAAAGGAGTTGAGTGGTCCTCATTCACAGTTTCTGATCAGCGTTGTTATTGCTTCAATAATTCTTTCTTGTTTATTCACGTTGCTATAATATTGCGTACAAAAATTGATTGGAAATGAATTTTTTGTTTTGCAGCGGCGTTGTTTGGACTAGTTTGTACAACTTGTTACTAATGACCGAAGAATACGAAAGCGTCTCTCTGGTGAAGCCTGAAGTGTTCATTTATCGCATACCACCTCTTACCAGCAACCGAGGACATAAGTGAGATTTTCTTAGAGCTCCTTTACTGTATTTTCTGTTTAATATCATCGTTATTATAATTGCTATCAATCAAAAATCATTTTGGTAGGCATTCGATATTTATTTACTTAAAATATGAAATGAAGTAGAGTGGAACTTCTGAAGAAGAAATGTTTATCTTAATCTACATATTATGGTTAAAGTAGTGATGCCTGATTGTAAGGTGATTTCTTAAGCAGAATATAATTTTACAGAGCTGCAGATTGGAAGCTAGATGAACCAGACTGGACAGGACGTATGCGGTTAGTAGCTATTGGCAATAAGTTGGAATTACGACTAGAAGATAAGATATCTGGACAGTTATTTGCGAAATGTCCAGTAGATGAATACCCAGGCATTAGCATCGAGCCTGTCCTCGACTCTTCACGGTATTTTGTTGTTCGATTAAAAAATGATAACGGTCAAACAGCTTTTATCGGTTCGTTCTTTGTGTCAGTGCTTATATATAAATCATTTGTTACAACATATTTCAAATTTGAATATTGAGAAGTGCCAAGCATTGAGGCATGGATGCTTAGAGATTATGCTGGAGGACGTACATGAATTATATATCGTAGATGAATTGTTTAAGGTGTTTTTATCATTTTTTCAGGTTTGGGGTTCGCTGATCGGAGTGATTCGTTTGATTTGAATGTTGCGCTACAAGAACATTTCAAATACATTGAAAAAAGCGCAGAATTCTGTAAAGAACAGACGAATGATCAACCGAAGCTGGACCTGGGTTTCAAAAAAGGACAAACTATAACTATAAATTTTGGGGTAGATTGCTTGTTCCAAAACATATATATTTGAACTAGAGTAATCTCTTTTCTAATGGTTGGAACAGCATATCATTTTCCATTTTGATATTACTAGAGAGATTGTTCGTGGTAAAAATCACTGACATTGTAACCCATATTACTTACAAAGTGATTGCTGTAATCATCTTCAAAGTGTAAGTAACAGCAAATTGGTTTCACTTGTAACCAGGTTTTTTAAAGGAATTCTCCAGTTATTAGTGTTTTATTAAATAACAAGTACTCAAAAATATGTTTCCAGAAAAAAACATCAACAAATCCTCAACAAGCAAGATCATCAGCAGCAAATGCAAGCAGCAATTCTGGATGCTTTCCACTGTTGCCACCGCCACCGTCAGCAACATCTCCTATTAGTCAACGTTCACGCAACATTCCAAGCACGAAAACAGAATTTAAACCCTAATCATTCTTGTGATAGATCTCTTTTCTTGTCGTCACTTATTGTATTTTTCGAAGAAATATATGCAGATCTGTATATAGTTGCGCATACTAACTTTTGCTTTGAATATGTTCAGTTGCGTATATCTCGCGTTAGGAATTTAACGGTATCATATGGTGAAAAGTGGTTCTGATTCCATTTTAATTCATTTCTAATGTGTTTTCTGATTAACACTTCATTAATATGCACTCTTGCTGTTTCAATTTTGCCTAATAGCATTGTTGTTTATCGCAGTCTTATATCAGTCAATTTTTCACCTGTGATGTTTTTCATAATATTTGTAATCAATTTTTTTGATTTAATAATTGGCTATATAAAAGTTGTAATTTACGATGTTTAGATGGTATACGTCGTCGATATGATAAAGAAGTAATCGAAAAATATTTTAATAGAGCATATATCTTGCTCTCTCTTATGTTTGAAATGTCGGTTTTATTTTAGCTCTCATTCAAGTATTTCAGATACGATTCGACTTTTAACATATTGCTTATTGAAGAATATGAGCAAAATTTTCTATCTGCTTTAAGTTTTAATTCATCATAGAAGCAATTGGATTTTTAGAAACTGCCATGCTGTAGATTAAAATATTTTTTTCAACTAAAAGTATATAAGTGGACTGCGCAGGTATCGTGATGATTAAAAGGGGAAATAGGAAAAAAGGATGACGATGAAGTAACGGTAGTTTTCTGGTATCCAGTGGAATTAAAAATGGATTACCAGCTTCAAAAAGTCTTAAAATTTCATAATTGATATAGTGATAGTGTCCTGAAAGATAAGAACACAATAGGTTTGTAGAAAGAAAATAAACTTAGTGGTTTTCCTTTTCAGTTTCATTTCACGGGAATGGAAGATTACGCTGCAGGTGGAAAAGATCAAGTACCATACATGCGCCTAGTAAGTGATCGAGCACACTGCTGTTCATTAATTGAAGACTCAAAAAATCGTCTGCTAAAGGACTATTTGGAGCTGCAAAAAGATCCACTTCCGGATATTGTTGCAAAGCCGCTGGATGAAAGTTTATTGTTATGGGGCTATGCTATTCGTGGTGCGAAGGATACTCCCTTTGATGGTCTCTGTTGCTGATAGTTTGTATGATAAGTTGAATTTTTTAAATTCTTATAAAAGTTCAGTTTACTGTTGAAGTATGTTCGGTGCATCAGACTTTGTATTCGAGTTTTAAAACTTTTTAGGTGGTATATATTACGGCGAGATGCAATTCACCAAGGATTTCCCCTACATTCCTCCGCATATTGTTATGTATACACCGAATGGGAGGTAATACAAACATTGCTTATTGTTCTTACATTGTTTTGGATTGAATTGTATATTGAAAAATATTAACAACATTTCTTTTTTAAATTTTACTTGAATTCTAGTTTTTTTAACCAAACTTAGGAACTCTCAATGATGAATGTTTGATGAAATTTAGATTCAAACCTGGTGATCAAATTTGTCTCTCTATTTCGGCGTTTCATTCTCCAAATTGGGATCCGTCGTGGACTGTCGGATCATTTCTGCTTTGTTTCGCCAATTTTATGATGTTCGACGAGGATAGGATGGGCACGGGTGCGTAATTTTTAGTTATGAAAATCTACAGTGTTTATGTTTATAAAGAAGTTATAAAGAATGTGGATTTCCATGTTTTAGTAAACATCCTTGTTCTGATAAGTTCGTATAAGATCAAATTTACGAGAGAATTACTAGATTCCGCTAATTGGAGAAGTAAAACATATTAACAAGATCTTGTCTGCACTTTGGATATCAAGTTTCAGTAAATTGTTCCTGATCTCTATTCTCAGCCTTTATTTCTCCCTTTGATCAATCCGAATGGTTTTTATGACTGATTACTTTTTTCATGCTCATTTTGATCTTTTGATTCTACTCTCCATGTTTATCCTTTATTATAAGGAATCATTATTCAATTATTATTCATAAGACATAAGCTTATGCATGAAGCATACGGTATGCTTTTATGAATTTAAAAGTATCATTGCAGGCTTTATAGCAAGCTCGACGGAGCAAAAACGTGTCTTTGCAAAGCAGTCGATGTTCTACAATAAACAAGTATGTTTGATTTTTTAATTGTCCATTGTTACTTCCTGAACAATTGTTTATTGTCATTTCCCCAGGTTTCGAAATATCTTTTTTTTTTTAATTTGCTTTAATACTTACATATACAAAAATCCTGACCTACATTCCATGTCCTTGTGTGAATAATTGAGAAATTATGAAGTTTATGCTAGATCCGTTGGGCTGTCTTCAGTCTAAACGGATTATCGACTAACATAGTGAGTCTTTTTAAAATAATGATGTTTGGTCTTATTCGATTCAACTTGATCGCACTAAATGGCTTAAGAAACGTGTATACTACACTACATCATCTCATTTTAAAGTAAAGCTTCGTCTTTTTATGCCTCTTTTTCCAGAACGAACATTTCATGAAGGCATTTGGTGAAAAACCTTTTGATCCAGAGGATTCAAATGACAAAGACCAGGCAAATGCTACTGATGAGTCAGATGACGAGGAGGAAAGTGAATTATCAAGTTTTTCTAATTCTGACGATGAAAGATTTAAAAAAACTTTAACGTTCTAGTTTCACACGAGATCGCTGATCAAGGTGGTGGAAAGAAATAAGGTTAAAGATTTGAAAAAAATCTTTGTAGTGAATCGAACTTTTTTTTAATACATTATTTTGATATCCTCTCTATTTTGAGTATTCTGCGACTTACTGTTGCTTCAGGGATTGCCTATTCTTTGCTTTCATTTGTTTTTCCCAATGATTAAGTGGATTATTCCATTCAAAGAATGTTCGTTATTAGCATGCTTTTATTGCTAACATTTTTGGTATTTTTCTTTAATCGGAAAAAATTAATCACTCGTTCTTCGCTTTTTCTTTGTTTACATTGCTGAAATTTACTTATTTCTTAAGTTGTAATATGATGATTAGCTGTTACGTAGTTCATTGCCGGATTATAACATTTATATAAGCAGTGACATCATTGCATTTTTTATTTTAGAAAAAATTAAACATATTCAGCTTAGTTGTCTGTGAACAACTTTCGGTTACATCAAACAATTTCCTGCTTAGATTTATTTTGTTCTTTTGATCAAAAAATTTTATACATCGAATAACATGTAAAGCACTGGTCATGTAATATTGCTAAATTTTAGATGCAATATTGCTAAATTTTAAATTTTAGATAGTGGATAGCGTCCAATACGATATAGTTGTTTTAATGCTGTAAGTCGTGATAGATCTTGAGTTATATTTTGCTTTTTTGCTTAATAAATAGACTGACATTGTTATCTAACTTTACGTATTGGAAATTATTATATCATTGAACAGCATGCAAAAAAGCTAGGGTATAAGATACAGTGCGAGCGCGTCCATAACTGACTGTTGTCATTGTTCATTGTTTAAAAGTTTGTCTCAGTTATTATTGTGTCCTCTTACAACCTGCCATATTTTAAGCTTATCAAGTCACATTTTTGTAATCTCAGGGCATTTGTTATCGCATTGTTGTCTTTCAAATAGTTAATGTTTGTTGTTCATCGTTTCTTAATAAAATATGAATTTCAAGTAAAGATAAAATACAGTGCGATGGTATAAACCTTTAAGATATCAACCATAATTTAGTTCTTTTTCTAATCCTGTGTTGTGACTTAATCTAACTTTCGTCCCACTGTAGTTGGCGAAATGTGGTATATCATGTTAAGTCTGTATTTATTTCACTGCAACACATCAATTTCAGATGGATAGAGCAAGGATAAAATTCTAAAAATATGGCGTTGTGTTTCAAATAGTTTGTGATGTTATAATGTCAAATTCTTAAGTTATCCTATCCTATCCCGTAGTTTCGCATTTGGTTCGAGCCGAAATTTGCATGCTTTAAAACGTACATTGAAAAATCTAAATCTTTATTGGCTTATTGTTGATAAATTTGGCTCGTCATCTAATTAATAAGAGATATGCTATGGCCGTTGCATTCATTGTTTATAAAAGCAGGATAAGTGACTTGTTGGTAAGATCATTTGAAGTAGTAATACGTTTCTTTCCATACTGCTGGCTGGGCTAACCGCTGTCCCGAATTCTGATTTTTTCATTGAAGCATCTATCAAGAAGCTGTGGAATACGTGATGCGGCATATAGTCGCAATTATAAGTAAGAAAGTGAATTGGAGCGAGAGAGATAGGAGAAACAAGGATGATACATTTTCCTGATGTGATGCCATTCGTTGCAACGTGCATTTATGTCTCTCTTCTCTTTCCTCTCCACGTATTCCACTGTATCTTCCCAGCTGTGTGAGTCTTGCCTCCCCTTACTAAGGTTATACTTAGCAGAGAAAAAATCCGTAATCCCATGAAAGTGAAGCCGACTTTATCCAGAGAGTCAATATAAGACTTCACGAGAGAATTTCATTCAGGACATTGGTACCATGGGTGGTCCATCAGTCACTGCAATTTCAAGACTGAAGAAGGACTATGCAAAATTGATGAAGGTTTACCCATTTATGAGATTTTATGGAATTTTTTAATCGAATAAACTTTTTTAGTTTATGTGGTAATTGTTTTTATTTTTAGTACTGTGTTAATTGTTGTGTATATTGCTAGCATTCAGTTAAGTGACATTGCATATTAACGCGTTTCAGGATCCGGTACCTTTTGTCGTGGCAGTTCCTCTTCATTCTAATATTCTGGAGTGGCATTATGTGATTAGAGGGGCACCACAGACACCGTATGAAGGTTGTTTTTCATATTTGTGTCTTTGGCTTTAATAAGGTAACCATGAATAAAGTTTTTAGTTTGACATGCCTTCTGGCATATTTCGGAATAGTTGAAAAAGAAATGTGAAATCATACATGTATTTTTTAGGCTTTTCATGCATTATATTTATAGGTGGATTCTATCACGGTAAACTAATTTTTCCACCAGACTTTCCGTTCAAGCCGCCATCAATATTTATGCTAACGCCTTCTGGACGTTTCCAAACAAACACAAGACTTTGTCTTTCGATCTCTGATTTCCATCCAGATACTTGGAATCCTGCTTGGACGGTTCGTCTTTAAGTCACATTATGCGTGAATTTTTTTTCTGAAAATTTGTTTGCATATCATTGCATTGTAAGATCGTTTTGTCCAGTATAAATGTATTTCAGGTCTCAACTATTATAACGGGTTTACTTTCCTTCATGAATGATACAGCTCCAACTCTAGGCAGTATAACCTCAAGCGATGCAGAGAAACGTATTCTTGCTAGGAAGTCTAGAGAATTCAACTTAAAGGTTGTCTTTTCATTATTAGCATTAACTGTGATACTTAGATTTTTCTCTGAAATTATTGCTCTCTTTTTATTTCGGAGTGTTGACATTACCTTGTTATTGTAGGATCGAGTCTTCTGCGAGCTGTTTAGTGATTTGGCTAAGGAAATACGAGAGGAATTGACTGAGGAACGAAACAAAGTGTTATCAGAAGAAAATGCAGTTGATGAAACTACGTCGCAGAGAAGGTCTTTATCCTAATCATAACTCAGAGATGTACGTATGATGTACACATGAAAAATTTCTGGAGAGAAAAGGTGTTTTCCTGAGTTTCAGATATTTTTCATAAGAAATCTCTGACGACATTTCTGCTTGTTTTCATCATTCATTCATTCATTATTTATAAGCAACAATTTTTTAAGGTCTGGTGAAGAGGGCGACTACGCTACCTTGACGTATAATCTTGTGGTGCTTGCAGGCGTGGTGTTAATTGCGTTTGTAGTTAGATTTGTCATATTATCTGCTCAAGAGGAGAATTGATTTCGTATTTCTTATTGGAAACTGATACGATGTAATGTTTTATTGCAATTTCTCATCAATTTAGGCTTAAAATTGATGGTTATTAAAATTCAAAAGCAACACATTTCAATTTTGCAGAAAGTAGACAAGCAAAGTAAAGGCTAAATTTTTGTTCTACCATTTACTGCCTTCTTTTACTTTTCATAATATTCGAATTTTCCATTAAATTCATTGTTGCCTAGTTTTTAGTTTTTTGCATGTTCTTTTAATAATTTTTATTTTAGAATAACGAGTGCTTTGCACATTCTTGATATTGATGAGGCGTGAGACATCAATCTTTTTTCATCCAGTTCTACTTCCAATACTTCTGTCGATATGCTTTCCTTCAAAACTGTCTTTTTCGCCTTGGATTTTGTCATTCTTCAAGTTTCTTATCCCTTCAAAAGGACTCCATTATTTTGCTACTATTGGTTATTATTCATAAACTCGTGCTAATGGTATCAGTTGACTAACTGACTGATTGATTAATTGATTGTTCATTTGTACATTTTCATCATTTGTAATTTAAATAAAGAATTTACATTAAGTTATTCAATTCGTTTATGTAAAGGCTTTTGTATCACATACGTATTTATATTCGTAGGTTTTGTAAAATAATCAGGTATTACTTGTACTGATCCCTCTTGTAAATTTCTACAATTTTGGGTGTTTTGTAATATTTAAAGATGAGCATCAAGTTTCGATTACACTAATCTATCTTCCATTGATGCGGTGGTGTTATTATCTCCCTTAATATAGTTATTTGTAATAATGAAATACGTTTTGCTGTCTTTACATGGGAATTTTGTGTTGTCTCCAATGTTGTGGTCCTAGGTGCAACGAACGGGACAGCAGTAACTCTCCAGTAGGTTGCACTTCTCAAATTGTGTTTAGCTTGAATGCGATTAACTGGCGGGATATACATGGCCTCACGAGTAAATACCGAAGTGGTCGAATATTGATTTCGGTATAAAGAGGGTTTTTTGATTTATTGTGATGTATATCATGGAATACAAAAGAACAAGGCTTGATATCTCGTTCTGACCAAATAATTGACTCAGTCATTCTTAATTTATGATAAAGGTTTAGGTTGATCATCATAAGTTTAGGAAAACACTTTTGAAATTGACTTCTAATCAATAAACGCTTTCTGCATATTCATTATTTGTCAATCGGAATGGTGACACGTGGAACTAAGAATGGTGCGGCGATCTTTCATACCTGCACGCATGATAATACTTTCATGTGGTTGTTTAATTTGCATAATTTGTACTATCACTCTTTCACTGACATGCAGTTGCGAGGAACAGTTTACCTCCCATAGACTGCACGGGTTTGCCGCATCGAGCTTGTATAGACAGCAAAGTGGTTATGGCAAGTTCCAAAAGTTCACTTTTGTACATTTAATGTTCAAGGATTAAATGAATTGTAATTGTTAGATTTTTTTAGATTTTAACAAAGCATAATTACTAAAAAATTTTATTTCCTTAGTAATAAAAGAGAAAAAAGCCTTCTTAAATCATGATTTTCAGGTATGGAAAGTATTTCAGATTTACCTTCGACATATTTAGCGATTGTGATCATGTCATCTCCAGATGATGCAATGGTGCGTGCTGTTATTCGCAACACGTGGCTAAAATTATCTTCGAAAGGTGGTTTAGAATTTACTTATTTCTTAATATAATATGACAAATCAAAAGTTAAGACCAAAAAAATTGCTCTCTAAATTCACAGGTAAAGCAACCTTCCGTTATGCTTTTCCGATTGGAACAAAGAACTTGAGTTTGTCTTTCAAGAAACGTCTCAAAGAAGAAAATACTTTGTTTAATGATCTGATTTTTCTGGAGGACCTCACGGATACTTACCAAAGCTTGACGAAGAAGTCGTTACTCTCTATGCAAGCTGTGCACAATATGTACAAATTTGAATTCTTATTAAAGGTTATCTTTGTTCAGTTATCCAAGTTCAAGTCAGATCCTATTATGGTCAACGATTAATCTCGCGGTTATTTGCTGATAATTGACTTAGCTTGATCACATTGATATAATATTAAGAAATATCTTACTAGCAGTTGATTGTTGTTTTAGTTTATGATTCTTTTTGATTTTTAATTTATAGTCTTAATTTTATTTTTTAAATTCTTTCTTACATCAAGTTGGCCAAAGTTTATGCTTTCTGAAGGTCGATTCTGATTCGTTTGTACGTTTGGGAGCATTTTTGAAAGCATTAAAGGATATTGCAAATCCAAATTTATACTGGGGTTTCTTGGATGGAAGGGCAAGACCAAAACGAAAAGGTCAGTGGGCTGAAAG